AAAAAAATTACGAATTGCGTTATCGTCAATCACAGAAAGAAGAAATATTCAGATCTTTGCGGTTTGACTGAAAGACTACAAGACTGACAGACACGTAGATACAGGTTAGGAAATTCAAGATTTGGAAACTCAACGTTCGCGTTGGCAAATATTAAAAATTCAAGATTTGGAAATTCAAGATTAAGCCTTCCAAACATTGAAAATTTAGGATCTAGAAATTGATGATTTGGCGTGCTAAAAATTGAAACTTCAACGCTTGAAAATTCAATATTTGTGTTGACAAATATTGAAAATTCAAGATTTTGAGATGTAAGATTACTCCAAACTCAGTCTCTAAAATTTGAAGATGTGGTCTGCCAAATATTGACAATTCAAGGTTTGGAAATTCAAGATTTGGCCTGCCAACTATTGAAAACTCAAGATTTAGAAATTCAATATTTGCGTTGGCAAATTGGAAATTCAAGATTTCAATCTTCAAGATTTGGCTCACCAATATTGAACACTTAAGATTTGGAAAATTGATCATGAGATCTGGCCTGCCAAATTTTGAAAGTTTAAGATTTATGCGTGTTGAATGATAAATGCGAGCCTCTTTTGGAGAAGGCGGAACTCTCGGCGTTTTTCTTTTTGAGCCGACGACATTTCTGGCTTACTAAATATCGAGGTCGAGACTTCAAAAAAAGTGTTTTAAAAAAACAAGACTGCGAGACCCGTGAAATTCGACGAAAATGTGGCTAGATCCATGGTTTTTGAAAAACCATTCACCGCCAGAAGAGAAAAGCACATGTGCAACTGCTTTCTATCAGAAATAGAAACAGGAAATAAAGCTAATCAAATTCACGGATTCGTAATAAACTATGAAAAATTTATCCTGATAATGATTATATATAAATTGCGTTACTTGCATTATTATTTACACCACTTACAATACGCCTGCTTATACAACATACAAGTAACCTACATCTTACTTTCAATTCGATTGATAAAACTGCTTCCTGTACCTACTCGCTATTATGAATGGGGGAGGTTAAATAGTTTCACGATTAACTTGTCTCAGTAGTAATCTAAAGTAAAGCGATAGTCTAGTCGGGTTTATGTGATTTGTAAACGAAGAGGGAGTATGCTTTATTTTATCATGTATACAACCTTCAGTGTGGGTAACGGTAGAAGGCATGAACACCCCATTTTTCAATCGAAGATGTGCTGTTTTTACAAGCAGTTTTTTTTCATTTTGATTCCATAGGAGACGCAGCAAGTAACCAGTCAGAGACAGGGTGGCAACGTAGCTGTGATTGGTGTTAAAATGGCTTCAGTGATGGGTGTGACATGGATTCTTGGGATTGCTGCAAACTTGAAAGCTTTATCATTCCTGTGGTACCCGTATGTGGTTTTGAACAGTCTTCAAGGTACACTCTTCTTTCCCATTTTCTTTTCCTTGTGATAGCAGTAAATCGTCGCTCATAACTAGATACTCCTAATTTGAAACATTCCCCTTAGATGGTAAAAGAAGGCGTTAAGAGAATAAAATTACACAGGTCTGTTGAACTTTCTTCTGGCTCCACTTAATTTAGTAGCTGCATTTATCAAGGTATTGGTGCAAAATTATACAGTCGCAGAGTTCTCGAATTGGTTAGCTTTCCCATCAGATTTTTTGAAGTATCCCTAATTCAAGCCTCCTGTTAAAATTATATAACATAGTTGCAGATGCTGCAGGTCATTCTAAGACATTTTACTCTTTTCAACTCCACACAGGACTGTTTATTTTCCTGTCATTTGCCGTCAGTGGAAGAGCTCTTGAATTGTACAAGAGTAAAGTGGCCGACATCTTGAAGGATCTGAGAACCAAAAGGGAAAACAACAAACAAAGCAGCTCTTCCTGTGACGCACAGTCTACAAATATCACATCTACTGGCAATCATGCCACATCTACCAGCAATCTTGCCACATCCACTGGCAATCTTGCCACATCTACTGGCAATCAAGATACGCGACAGATTGAAGATACAAGCTTGTAAATTGTAAATCAAAATACACTCGTGTAAGCGTCGTAGACATATGTGAGTCAAATCAGATATCAGTGTACAGTCGGCCTACTATATTTTTGTGCCGTATTTCGATGACGCTGAAGAGCTTGTGAGAAATTTGAATGCATAACATTTTTCCTATGTGAAGTTAGCGTCTCACGGGGTAACGTGGTTACAAGCTGTTACAGTAGCAACGCCGGAAACATGTACGGACTAAAGTTAAAACAGGACACACGAGTCTAGTGTTATAAGACCGGAAAGTCACGTAGAAGGATTTAAAACGTCCAATTTGGTTGGAAACAAGTCCTTAAAATTAAGTAGATTCAAAACCATACGAGTAATCAATCGGTGCCGGCTCTAATCTATTTCTAGCTTTTGTTTATTTTTATTTTTTCTAGTTTTCTAGATTTTTCAGTTTGATTTAGTCCCGGGAATAAGCCGGCACTCGTGGTAGGCTCTGTTAAATTTAAATGAAAATAACGTAATCAGGCTCGGCTTGAATAGTTGTCCATGGGAGTTAGTGTTTCGGAAGAGCTGCCAATGATGGTTGCGATTTCAAACTTACCGTTATTCTAGATGTCCTTTCCAGGTCTTGTCAATGAGCACTAATGATTAGCCCCAAGGGAAACAGTGAGTTTTGTTTCCCTGAGACCCTCAGTGTTCCCCGAGGCGAAGCGTGGATATATGTAAGAAGATTGTTGTACCTCCCAACTCAAAAGTAGAAAACAACTGCGAAGAAATCGTTTGCTTTAAGCCGGCTGGCTCAAAAATTTGCCGCGGTTTCAAGGATCACGACCTGATCACGTGCGAGTCCAACGTTCATGTTTTTGTTTCCCTAGGGAGTTAGTGAGTTTTGACCCACGACACGTGACACGTTCTCCTCCAATTGGAAAACGTATTTGAGTTGGGAGGTATAACAATGCCTGTTGATGTACGTACATATATTTCTATTTAGTTTCGGGGTTAAATCGTTATTTTCTATTATTTTATTCGATCCGTTAAGACTATGAGCCATGTTAGAATTTCAATGTGTCGAAAATGGCCTATTGACAAGGCTATCCAGGCTTGTACAGTGCAGGCAATTTTTAGTTATGCATTAAATCATATACTCCGGATCGGTACCTGCGGTCACAGAAATGCAAGAATGACTTGGTATCGAAGGTGCTCGGGTATTCTCATCTCCAACACTGCTTGCAGTCTGTTTTTCTCTCGCCCATCCCCTTGTCGTCTATATCGCTTTCGTGTTTGTGAGGATTAAAGATGATTTCCAGTTCGAACTGCGCACTCTCGATAGTTTTTTTCTTTTATTGAATTCTGTTTTGTTTCATGTAAGATATCAAAAAATTGTAAACATTTCGCGACAACTTACGTGAAGAAAATTCAAAGTTTCATGTCAACCGCCATTCGGATGCGAAGCTTTATGCTTCATTCTTTCTCATACCACTTGATGAAACAACTTCGCAGCTGTAAAAATCAATGAAGCTGTTTGAATGAATGTGAAAGGCCTCAAAGAAAAGGTATGTGGTTTGTGACGAATAACATCGATTGGCATTCCATCGAGTGAGACTTCTAATGTTTATAAACATTAGGGCCGCTCATACTGCGCAGCGCGGACTGGAAATGATAAATAACAAAAGATCCGAGATCGCCTTTCTCTCCTTTTCTTTGCTTCTGACTACGCGTTCTGCATAATCACGACAAC